GTAGAGGCCACACTATAGCCAATGACACGTGACTAGGTTCAGTGTCTCACTAACTACGGAGTTCTAGCAAAACCACGATCTTCCTTGATAATCTATACTTAGAGGGAAGACACAGAGGCTTCTGAAATCACATGCCATTGTATCCATCCCTAGCACAACTAATGGGTTAGGACCGATCATTGAATGACACGCCCCAGAAATAAAATCAGTTGATACAGCTTTATGTGACCTCCTAGTGCTTCAGATAGAGGAAGTGAACATGGTGGTATCAGATGACAATGTTTTCATGGACCCAAGTACACCAGAGCCACTTTTCAAACTTTCATATGAACACAAATCATCTGGGCCTCTTGGTAAATTGCAAACGCTGGCTTGTGAAATTTGGGTTAACACTTGTCTATGTTGCTGGCCCATGTACCAATCTGGTAGAGGGGTACTTCAATAAATTCCTTATCCAGTTGTCTCTGTGATATCTCATCAACGCAATTTTCCAGAATCACTAAATATTTTCCTGCCACTCCCATCTTCACTTTATATTTCTTTGTGCTGGTTGCCACCGTCTGACACATAAGGAAGACTGGTCTGTCATTTCCCTGGGAGCATAGGAAGAGTCCAGAAAGAGAAAAGAGTATCGATGGGCTGAATCTGTAAGTGAAATCATGAGCGGGCTGATTCAACTTCACGTAGCAAGTGTTTGGCTTTTAATTTCAGGAATTTGAGCACCCTGCTGAAGAAGAAAGGGTGGAAGGAAGCAGGTCCTCACACTGTCTACACGAGCAGACACGGCTACTGTGCACTGCACACTGAGTGAGAGGGACGGTGGACAGGATGATGTAGCGGAAAGGGACCACGCTCCCTCTGAGTAGAACTGTACATAAATAATGCTTCATTTTGTAGCACAAAACTCACCAGAGAAGACATTTATTGCTACATTATAATAACTATAATTATTTGAAAATCCGTGCTAAGAACTATGGAAATTTAGCAGTTGGTATTTTACAACATACTTTCCTTCAGTAATTTTTTTTTTCTATCTTTGGAACAAAAGTGAAAAGTCCAAGAAAATAAATATTAGGGCTCCCTCTGACCACCAATATCTTTGAGTGGAAACACAAATATTGAGGTTTATAAATCTCTCACCCACGAGTTTAGCGACTCTTGAAGAAATACCTGTCACAGCACCAGGGAGACTTATCAGTGAGCAGAACACAGATAACGTTTGCTTGCAGGTAACCACCATCCATCTTGAAGCTCAGCAAGATACTCTTTTCCCCTTCTTTCTAATACAAATCTCACCCATTTGTCAAGGAGTCGTTCCATTCCCACATTTCTACGCTACGCTATTTCTGTGTTGTTATGGACCCTGCAGGCTTATCCTCTCTATACCATTTCATGATTCTTTTTTTTTTAAACTTTTTTTTCGGATAATTGATAACGATTGATTATCGTTATCACCAGGTGGGATTTGAACCCGCGTCCTCGGGCACTAGAGCAGAGTGTTAGGCAGTCCTAGCCGCCGAGCCACGACTCCAGCTGCTCCATTTCATGATTCTTAGAGATAGGGTTTTTACCATAAATGTTGTTCATATTCATTAGGAACTGGTTTTCATTATGCATAATAAAGTATTTTTATTTAGAAGGTAAAAAAAATTACTTGGGAATGAATAGCATGCGATATACTTGAGGTAGAAGACAAAATTCCTAAGTATCTAGGAATGTTGAATAAAGTATTCAGTGGCTTCCCCATTAAGTCACCTGAAAGAGACTGAAAATGTATTTACTAGAAGCACAGTCTCCTCCTCCTTCTCCTCCTCCTCCTCCTCCTCCTCCTCCTCCTCCTCCTCCTCCTCCTCTTCTTCTTCTTCTTCTGCTGCTGCTGCTGCTGCTGCTGCCTCTTCCTCCTCCTCCTCCTCCTCCTCCTCCTTCTTCTTCTTCTTCTTCTTCTTCCTCTCTCTCTCTCTCTCTCTCTCTCTCTCTCTCTCTCTCTCTTTCTCCTGTGTGTGTGTGTGTGTGTGATACATGTGTGTACATATGAGTGTGAGTGCAGGTATGCACATGTCATTGGATATAGTAGAGGTCAGAGAATAACCACCAATGCCAGACCCAAGTTCTACTTTACTTGAGTCAGGATCTCTTGTTTGTAAGTGTATATACCAGGCTTGCCTGTGAACTTCAGGGAATTCTTTCTTCATTTCCCATCATGTTGTAGGTGTGCTGGAATCACAGATGTACACTACCAGGCCTGGGTTTATGTAGATTCTAGGGATATGAGTTCAAGTCCTCAGGCTTGTGAGGCAAGCTCTTCATCCAATGATCTGTTCTTCAGCCTAAAAGTCTAGTTCTTGACTACTCCAAAAGAAATGTAATAAGCCATGCGGTGGTGGCACACACCTTTAATCCCAGCAGGTAGGTATCTATGATTTGAAGCCAGTCTGGTCTACAGAGTGAGTTCCAGGACAACCAGGGCTACGCAAAGAAACCCTGTCTCAAAAAACCAAATCCAAAACCGAAAAAAAAGTCATGTAATAACATTTCAGTATTATTACCAAGGTTACAATACTGCCAGAAATGAAAGAGGCCGGATAAGAATTCTCTAACGAGCCAGATGGTGATGGCACACACTTTTAATCCTGGCACTCAGAAAGCAGAGGAGGATGGATCTCTATGCATTCAAGGCCAGCCTGGTCTACAAAGTGAGTTCCAGGACAGCCAGAGCCCTTACACAGAGAAACCCTATGTCAAAAAAAAGAAAAAAAGACGGAAAGAAAAAAGATTTCTCTAATGAAATCTCATAGCCTTCATAGCATACTCTTCAATTCACTTGTTAATTTAAAAGTAAATTGTTTGTTATTTCCTTAAGCTATTTTGCAATTTAAATGTCCTTAGACAACCAAAACAAAAATCCAATCAATCTTTCATTCCAAAGAATAGTTCACTTCAGGCTTGACTACCCATAAAGTTTACAAAAGGGAGAACAAAACTGATTTCTTCCTGTTGCTACTGCCTCATTTCCAACACTGACAAAGCTGTGGCACATGAGGCCCCATTAAATCAGGGCCATCATCCTGAGAATGCATTCTGTAGGCTGATGCTGCGAAAGATGCTTGTTGCTATTGGCAGGTTTCGTTATGGCCGGCAATGGATGTAATTTGTAGGACACGCTTTTCATGGGCGTCTTGATGGAGTGGAGTCTGTTATTCCTCTGGAGTGCAGCACTTAACAGGAAGCTGGGGCAAGTTCCAGGGGGAAGCCTGGAGATTTACACTGTGGAACTAGGATGTGGTGGCTTCAGCGTAAGCTCCAGCGCTCGCAATCAACCAGTTCAAGGTTATTTAAACACTAGCTCAATGAGTAAGCTTTCTGGTAGTATAACCAGGATACAAGGCATCATATTAGTCTGTGGAATTATCTGAGGCAGCAGTTTCAGAAACAGAAAAAAAACAGCTAGGGACTTTAATCCCTGTGTTGCCGGATGGCGAAGGGCTTAGAGTTCAAGAATGGAAGGGACCTTTGAAAACATGGAAGATAGTATGAAGCAGTTCTCACTAGGATTGATAAAGAATTTGTTAAATTATTCTAATCCATTTTCTGTTTTATAATAGATACTTTCGGAAACACTCCTGTTTGGGGAAAAATGCACCAATATTTAAGAAGCAGCAGGGGGCTGGAGAAATGGCTCAGTGGTTAAGAGCAATGACTGCTCTTCAAAGGACCAGGGTTTGATTCCCAGAACCCACATGGCAGTTCACAACTGTCTATGACTCCAGTTCCAGTGGATCCAACACCCTCACACAGACAGACATGAAGGCAAAAACACCAAAACATATTAAATAAGTATTTTTTTTTTAAAAAAAAGAAGCACAAAGACTTCCTAGCAGGATCTAGAAAGCGTGTGCTCATCACGCATCTAATCTTTGACCACCATGCTTGACATGCTCTCTTTACCAGTTCCTTGGCCACATGACACAGACTGACAGGCCCGGGCATTCACTAAACTGTTCAACTTGCTTGCAAATTCTGATTCTAAAGACAGGAGCAAACCAAACCAATACGGCAATAGGCACAAGAAAGAATTTTATTTATTCCTTTGTAGAGTATGCTGTTCTATCTATAATGATAAGATCTAGGCTGCCGTAGACAGGACCCAAACTTCAACTTTCCATAGGACACGCAGTGACAAGATGTTAGTGAGAAATCATCTGAAAGGACAAAGGAGTTCTTTACACCCCGCTCTCGAAGCTCGGAGCTCGTCTCTCACAGCTTGCAGTTGCATCCCCAGCTTTTGAATTCGCTCCTTTCCTAGCCAAGCAACCTGCACTTTGTGAAGATGGAAGTCATAGTCCTCTTCTTATGGCACAAGATCTAACTCCACTGTGTTGTGTTTATGTTTCATTAGCAAAGGACCATTACACACCACACACACACAATTTTCACTTCCCAGTTGTATCCCTAAGAATCATTCTAATAATAAACAGATATCTAAATGAAGAAAGAGCTAATCCCATTTGGGATATGTCATCAATGCACAGTTGGCCAATCCAACTGGTAACGGCGGCATCTCTCCAAGCACCTGTCTTTTTTCTTTTCAGTGATTGATCCCAGAGAACGGCATAGCTGAGAAGTGGGTGGAACATTGAAAGACTTATTAGCATTAATCAGAATTAAGGCATTCCCTTGAGCAGAAGCAGTGGTCTACTTAACAGGGAATTTGCTTCTCCAGTATCTGTTGGTGACTAGAAGCGACAATAAATGCAATAAAGCTGGCTCTGGTTTTGGAGGGTTTTGAGTTCATGTGTTCATATGAGCTTTTCTAACTGCCCAACATTTTCCTGGAAGATTAGAGATAACAGTTTTGTGAGATTTGGGGGACGTTAATCAAGTTTCCACCGTAAGTAGTTTAATAAAAATATTCCTGGTTGTGGTCAACATCGGCACTGGCAACCCGTAATGTAGCCACAAAGAGCCATTCTGGAACAGTCAGAGCATGAATGTGGACTGACCTTCAGGTTGGTATTGTGCTATGATTGTCACCGTCTGCCCGGCCCCCTTCAGTGCCGCAGCTGCCTGCTCATGAGAGGCTCCACGGAGATCGATGCCATTCACCTAGAAGACAGACCAGAGTTTTAGGCACAACGTCTCATTCTCACCGACAGAATGCAGACAGCAGAAAAAAGTTTTTCAAAATTAATAAGCTATCTAAAATTATGCCCCATCCCTCAAAACAAGAATCCTCCATTTCTCATTGAGGTGTTTCTTAGTTCAGGAAGTTTCCTAGTCATGATTACTTTTAGAAAGCAGGGGTATGCAATTTTATCCGGTGTTTGTGGCACAGCCTGACTGGGTTGGAAATATTTTGTCTATCTCTGTCCACAAGGGTCTTAGTGTGTGTATTACTATTTTCCCGTGGGTTTCCCAGATTTCTGGGGCAGATTGGCTTTAAAATTAGGGGTGGGGAAAATGATAATGAAGAGAGACACATGTAGTACCACAGACAAGTGCGTGCCGACAGAGTCATACATTCAGACGACGTTCTGGGGAGACAGTAGGGAATGGGGCTGGCTTGCTGCCAGAGCCCTCTCTTTGGGTATGTGCCTAGTCCTGTCATATGGAGCATGGTGAGACAGCCCTGAGTCCTGTTCCAAAATAAACTCGACTGCCCCATTTCTCATGCCCAATTCCATAATGAATTCTGACAAAATGAAATAAGGGGTGCCTGGAGTTTGTTCTGCTGTCGCTAAGTCCCGTTTTGGAGCCCAGACTGGAAGAGAGGCAGAGCATCTATAAAACAAGCCCTAGACTCTGCCGGGAAGGATAAAATTATCAGCAAGTCAAATTCAATGAGAAGCCAAAGCTGAAATCTTCCTCCAAACAATAGGGCCAATAAGTCATCAGGATACAATTGCCCAGTGCTCTGTGTCCCTCGGAGAAGGCTCGAAGGAGAACAAGAAGTTTACCTGACGGAAGCGAAAACACAGCGAGTCTGGCTTTCTAAGTAACACAGATGGCACCTTCACTGTGTTTCCTTTTGTACACAGAGCAGGATGCTACATCCAAGAGAAGTTGCTCAGCTCATCTGCACGTTCAGTACATTCTCTTGCTTTGGCTGTGGGCAACTGTCTTTACTAGAGACTCTGAGTAGTTAAAGGAAGGGCGTGGTTACCGCTTTGTTTCCCTAACTTGCTTGGCTCACCTGTGATCTTCAACTTTACATTCTTGTTCCTTCAGAATAATGCTATTAACGTCTCCCCATTAACATCTATAGTTTCTTTTGTCTTTTCCTCTGGAGTTCTATCCTGGTGAATATTTTCCTGCAAGCATTGGCTATGTATTAGTTTGGGGGCGTTCACTGTGCTAGGCCTGGCACACTGTGCTGACCATTAAATGAATGACTGCCATATCATAATCCTCCCTGAACCTGTTTCCTTTTACTTCGGAAGGAAGGAATGGTTAGGCTAGTAGGGTCTAAAGCCGCTCTAGCAGTAGGCTCACATGCTTGCATACTTGATTCCCAGCTAGTGGCAGTATTGGGGAAGGGAGATCATGGAACTTTAGGAGGTTCAGCCTTGCTGGAAAAAGTACATCATTAGAGACAGGCTTGGAGGCTTTATAGTCTCATCCTACCTCCTGCTTCTGCTTCCTCTATATTGTTGCGATGTAACCCCTCAGCTTCTTGCTCCAGTGGTCAGCCATGTCTCCCCTGCCCTTATGAACCTTCCCTCAGGGGTCATAAGCCAAAGTAACTCGTTTTTTCACTATCAGTTACTTCAGGTCAAGGTATTTTATCATAACAAGAGGAAAGGAACTAACAACTACCCCCACTCCCCACCATGAGCTGAGAAATTCTAAGCTACTGGAGAATAAAGAATAGTTATTTCCAAGACTGCCCAGGATGTGGATGGGTTGGCCAGAATCCTTCTGGCCAGAAGGGTCAGCAAAGGTAGATTTGTCTAGACATTTGCCCAAAGCAAGCTCAACTGAACAAATGTCAGGCGCCAAATAATCTTAAATAGTTTTTTCTCTGGTAAAACAGTTAACTCTTGTTAAAAATGGACATTACCAGCCGGGCGGTGGTGGCGCATGCCTTTAATCCCAGCACTCGGCAGGCAGATCTCTGTGAGTTTGAGGTTAGCCTGGTCTATAGAATGAGTTCCAGAACAGCGAGAGCTACAGAGAAACTCTATCTCAAAAACAAACAAACAAACAAACAAACAAAAACAAAAAACAAAAGAATGGACATTACCAACATAAAATTTCCAAAAATTACAGAAGGAAAAATGTGAGTGACCTCTCACCGTACCCACTTTCTCAGGTATCTACTGCTCTGGAATTCTCCTATGTGAAGCATGCCACTGGATCTGAATTTCTGGTGTTCTCACTACATAAATACTTATCTATGCCTTTTAACTAATGAATTAAGTATTATATAAATAAGCAACTTGTTTTGATTTTGGTTATTACTTAACAAAATATCTTGGGCATCTTTTATACAAACTCATGTCATTCAAGGTTTGAACTGGAAGCCTACACTGTGTATGCTGAGTGATCTACAGTATCTCAGTGAGATTCTTGCGGACATGGTTAAAAATCAGTTCCATTTTCTTTGTAATATATTTATGGAAGTCTTTATGTAGGATAAATTCCTTGAACATGGTCTTGGTAAGACAAAGGGTATATGACTTTTAAAAATTTGTTATTGTACAATTAAACATTATTTATAATTTAAATGATAAAAAGAAAACCATAAGTGCAATAATCTTATTTAGCAATAGCATGTTGATATAAAATAGAAATAATGCACATATATAATACTCATGAATAAAATTAAATCAGTATTTAAAAAGCCAAAATAAATATCTTCCTATTGTTATCTTAAGAAGTAACTATCTGGAGGCTGGAAAGATGGTTCAGTGGTTAAGATTTGCTCATGAAAAAAAATCCAAGTTTGGGTCCCACAATCAGAAGGCAAACAATCACCTATAATTCCAGCTCCAAGTGATCCAGTGCGTATGGATCACAAACAAACACACAAAACACACACACACACATACACACACATAAATAAAAACTTAAATATATAACAATCTTGATTATTTCCTGTGTATACTACTCATTACATTGTCATGAATATAAAACAACTTATGCGATGTGTGATTAAATATTTAATATAAATGATAGCATGCTGTGTACATTGTTTCATGTCTTCATTTTACTCAGTGAGTTTTTCTGAGTAGTTGCTCTGAGACATGATGTAATAAATATTCCCCTCTGTATGCTATGAATATGTTTTATTACCATTGGCTAATAAAAAAGTTGCTTAGGCCTATGGAAGGGCAGAATATAGCCAGGCTGGAAGAATATAGAGAGATAGTAGGCAGAGTTAAGGAGGTGCAGTATAATTGACATAGCAGAAAGATTCCCAGAATACAGCCTCGTGTTAATACACAGATTAATAGAAATGGGTTAATTTAAGATATAAGAGTTAGCCAGGAATAGGTCTAAGCTATTGGCCAAGCAGTGTTGTAATTAATATAGTTTCTGTGTGATTATTCGGGTCTGGGCAACCAGAAAATGAAAAAGCAATCTCTGTTTACAAAATGGCACCAATGTGGGCCAACTACATCCACATAAAACCTTTGAGAGCTTGGGAAGAAGCTCTAGACACAAAACAACAGTTAAGCACAGCTTCTTGGTAGCTGCATTTTTTTTTTCAGATAAGCTCTGTTTGCTGGCCACAAGCAGAGGTATGGCTTCTTTAAAAGAAGTCTTCCTGGTTCATGCTGGTGGCATGAATGGCTTTCAAATGGCTCTGGCTCTTTCAGGAAGTACTGCTATGGAATACTTACATGGGATCTGTGAGCAGTGTGTTACAAATTGCTTAATGGTAACGTATACCTGCTGTGTCCCTGGAACTGGGACAGTGAGCATGGCTCATGGAGGTGGTAAACATATCTCTGCCATGTTTGATGGGGTAGAGTCAACAGTCAAAGTTACAACTGTAGTCCTAGACATGCCTGCTTAGCATTTTAAAAAAATGCTCCTTGTCAGAAAAGGATTTCAGGTACACAATAGGACAGATTCAGACATAAAATACCTCTAAATGAGACACAGTGTATTCAAAATATGTACGTAGGTTTAGGAGAGAGAAGAAAAAGAGTATAGACAAGAATATAGAAAGTCATAGATTAAAGGAGAAAAGATAATTAAATATTTTTTAAAAGTCTCATAAAGATAGAATATACACAGAGAGTATGGATTATGTATATTATTGAGTCTTCTTTGAATCTTTTGACTGCAGAGAGACATTTTATTCTAGGGGCTGCTAAGTTAAACCAAAAATAAAGTTATCTTGCCTTCAAACTTTGGGTCTAAGGATGTGTTACTAGGAAAAGAGGTTCTGCTTTTGTTTCTATAGAAGATGAGAACCTGTAGATTTCTTACAGGCTAATATAGCTAGATGGAAAAAGACTCCCCAAAAAATATTTGTGACCCTAGAAATACTTTGCCCAACAAACAGCAGAAAGCAGTTTGGAGAAAAATATGACCAAGTTCCCAAAATGATTATTTAAAAATGTTTATTTTCATTTAAAGGGTTTTGGTCATAAGTGATTAATGGTCACAGTCATTTCTTTTTAAAAAAAAGGAGGATATGATATGAATACTTTGCATTGGTATGGCTCTTGGTCTATTGATACATTTTTAAGATCGACTTTGTTATACTACATATATGTATTTTTGCTCTTGTTTAAGATATTGTGTTTGTGTAGCCCATTTAAAAATGTAATTCATAGTTAAGAAATACAGATTAATAGATAGTCATCAATAATAATCAAACTGTAGTCATATTAGTTAGGTTTTCTAGATGTACAGAGATATATTTCAGATGAATAGATATTCTTCAAACCTTTCAAAGACCTATAGAATATGGCATTTAAAATGTTTTAAGAACTTAGACTTTCCTCAACAGTGAGACATGTCTGCTTCTGGCACATCAATTACTTCAGAGAAGTTGATGGGCATTGAAGAAAGTTGTTATGGAATTTGCCATCAATATGACAAAACTAGCCATTTGGGCAAGAAGCTGTTCTTTCCTGGACTGCTTTATG